CCTTCATTTTTTTTCTCATTGTGGTGTTTTTGAATTTTTTCTCTAGTGGCATGATGTTTTAGAAAATATCTCCTCTATCTTTGGGCTTAAAGTAGTTCAACAAGGCAATAAAATTTATATTATAATCATGTATAATAGAAAAGAATTTATTATTGATTGTGGAAGTAAATAGAGACTAAGCCTTGATACAAAGTTTTTTTTAACTTTGCTTTTGAGTAAAAGATTAATTAGTTTGTCAACTAGAATATTAGGCTTAATTCTTTATTGAACTAGTTCAATAAAATCATCATCTTCTTCAACTATTCCAACAATTTCATCTATTTTGGCATCATCATTATAATTTTTATTCTCATCTTTAATTGCAAAATCCAATTTAAATCAAATTAATTCAATTCTCCATGTAAGTTGTCTTTTTGATCGAAATATTTTTCTAAGTCCAACTTGGACTATGAATTTGACTAAATAAGAGACTCAATTCTAAAAATGCATTTTATTAAGAAAATTATCACTTTAGTAGAGCATATAAGTAGCTAATTGTACTAAAGTTTTGATACCATGTTGTTTCCTTCTTTCATTGTGGAAATCTCTCTATTTCACTTAATAATAAATAATAGCAATCTTTCTTGCTTAATTTATCAATCTTAAAAAATATTCTTAATGCAATTTTTTTTTTAATCTTGTTTAACACATATATGAAATGTTTAACACATGTTTTATATGTATACAATAAAAATGTCTATTTTAGAATATGTATACAATAGAAAATTTTAAATGTCAACACTGATTAGTACTAACTTATAGCATCAAGCTAAACACAATGTGCAAGAGTGTTGAATTGTTGAATATAAAAATTGACTAATTTAGTGATTAGCACTTAAATAAGCATATTTTAAATATATAATTTTTTTAACATAATATGATACTTCAAGTAATTTTTATAATACAATTGTTTCAAATTGGTTCACATAGTAAATATAAATATATGTATATATAAATATATGTATATTTTTTGAATTTTTATAGAAATTCTAGTGTCCAAGCATTTGCCTTCCAATGATGTGCTACACAATACAATACAATACAAAAAGATTAATTTTATGATTTATTATTATTATTATTATTTATTTATTTATTATTATTATTATTATAAGTAATATATATTATCTTATATTAAAATATTTTTATATAATTTTATAGATTTTTTTGTATATTTAATTTAAATTAAAATAGTCTTATTTTATATATATTTAATGAAAAGTATTTATTATTACAAAAATTCAACGTGATATTTATTTATATGCAATCTTTATATATATATATATATATATATATATATATATATATATATATATATATATATATATATATATATATATGCAAATGAATAAAATAAATTATTAATAAGATAATATTTAATTATTTAAACCTAAAATTAAAAAATAGATCCAATGCTATTTTTGAAAGTCTACAAATCTAAAATTATAAAAATCCTTTAATAACAAAAATAAAAATCCTAAAGTCTAAGTCAAAGTTGTTATATCTTGAAATCTAAAAACTTATAGAACAAGTTTTTTTAGTTATTAGAATAAAAAACATTAAACATAGAAGAATATATCAAGTCAAAATATAAAAAAATAAAGGAGGCAAAAAATTGGAGACACCTATATAATAGTAAATTCTAAATTCTAAACCTTGTCAACTAAAAAGTCAAAGATTTGTAGAAAGCCAAGTTTTAGACATGTGCAATGTGCAAGGATAGAATTCATTGTCTTCTAAGCCAAGAATAGAGAATCATATAGTCAAAACCAAAGTATCAAGAATTAAGACTAAATGAAATATAAGACATATTAGCAATGTAGGAAGGAATGTCAAAAGATATGTGTAGAAATTATTCTTTTAGCATTAGAAATCACTCTTTATGCAAAGAAAGTTGTGAATGGATGTAAACTTTGTAGAAATCTTAATTTTGATTTGTTTTTAAGGCATTAAAAATTGTCCTAGAAGCTAATTTTAATTATCAAAATAGATCTATAGAAATATTTTTTAGAACATGCCTTGTTACATTAGAAAAGTTGATAAATGAGAATTGTAGAAGAAATTCATATAAACTTTTTATTTGTGTGAAAAGTGCATTGACTTTTGCTAGACAAGCAATAGAAATGAATGACAAGCATATATGACATTAACTTTAATAAGCAAGAAAATAAAAAAAATATTCATGCATATCAATAAACATTGATACATGAAGGCCAATTTTTCTATAATATTTGAAAGCAAGATGATTTAAGTAATTATTACCTTATCTTTGATTTATTTTTTTATAATGCACATTAGTTTATTTACAATAAATTTGTATATAGAAGTGTGAATAGAATAATATTAAAGATCAATGGTGGTAGGTATTAGAAGAAATGGTTAGGATATTAGTTTTTTAGACTTGGTTGTGGTATTTATTTTTGCACTAGCATTTATAAAAATAAAAGTATTTATCTTATTTTTTAAAAATTGGATATACATCATGTATTTACTATTTCAATTCCATCATGCTTTTATTATTTGATACATTAAGATTATTGAAAAAAAAACTATACTACAAAAATGTGTGCACTCAATAAATATTTCTAAGAATATAATTGGGTTTTGTAGCTTTTAGATTTCTTTTAACTTCAATCTTTGACATTCCAAAATCAATTACTTTTAAAATGGTATGTTATACAATTTTATTTATGATTTTTATTTCTATAGTATTAACTAAAATATTGCCATGCTTTCAATCACAACACACAATGTGTATACTATGCAAGTAATACATCTCTTTTGTAATTTGATCTATAATATTAATAAGAAAAATATAAGATGCTTTCTTTTCTCCTTTCAACATATTCCTCAATTATTTTTTGTATCAATTCCATTCCTAAGTATAAATAATCTTTATTGTCTTTTATTATAGAAGATTCAACTATTTCATTAGGATTACCTTTTATTGCAAAATAATATGTTACCAAGTTGGGATGGTTTGAATTATCATATGTGAAATATATTACTATTTAATTTATATATCTTTATTTTTTCATAGGCTTTAAGAATACTTTTAGTCATTCAAAAATATTACCAATTGATTAAAAAATAATATACAACTTTTCAAAATTTTAATTTTTATCATATTAATATTGCTAGCAGAGGTATATAAGAATCCAAAAAATAATATTATATAATCCTGTAGTTTTGCTTGCATGGTTTTCTTGTATGTTAGAATAATCATTTAAGCATTTATTTTTTAAATACTAAAGTATTTTTAAAATCAAATGAATAAAATAAATACTTTTAATTTTAATTTTCAAAAAAAAACTATATATATTTTAGTAAAATTCCAATTCATTATATATAGATATATATATATATATATATATATATAATTTCAAAATTAAATATATTCAAGTATAGTATAAAATAAAAGAATACAAAATTAAAAAGGATTTATTTATAAAACAAGAGAATATCAAAAAAGTTATTTTTAAATACAACAAATTTATTAAACTATGAATAAATTATAAAAAAGACATCGACATTAACCTTGTCTTTCTGAATGTCAGCTAATAAAAAGATTATGTTGAAGTACTTAAAGACTATAAAACATCAAGTTATTGGATTCCTCAATTGTCAATTGTGGTCTTTAAAAAGTAAGAAACTTTGAAGAGTAATTACTACATCTATAGTACACATGTACATACTTTTATGTATCAAATTTCCATCTAAAACACTTCTTCAATATTTCTTGATGATATTTTGTCTATTTAATCTATTTCTACTTACTTCTATTTACATAAACAATTAAATAATTGTAATACATATGCTTTCATATTTTAAAATAATTTAAATAGACATTGATCATAAAATTAATTTTTAAATCTTGGGATGCTCTTAAAACATTCCTACAATATTCAAAAAGTTGCATGGTTTGAACAACTCTTTTTTAAAAGAACTCAATGAACAATTGAAATTCTCAACATTTAAAATTAATATTCAAAGCTTATAACTCTCCTAATATTCTCAAATAAATTCTTTTATGTCACAGCTCCTTAAAACAACAATGAGTTTTATGAGGAGCAATAAAAATCCTACATTATGTAATTCTAAAACAAATTGTGAACAAGTCATGGAATACAAACTATTCCACAACCACTCTAATCTCCACCAAATAAAATAAAAAGAACACAAAATAAACAAATAAGTATATAAACAATCAAGCAAAAACATTACAGTTCATTAATAATCCATTTGTAAAGCAATAGATAGATGTAAGATTGATTAGCCGCATGAGAGTACTACAAGGCAAACCCTAAACCCTTCAATGGTCCCAGAACTGGAAAACGAGCAATGTCGCAGCTCCCAGGATTAGAAACATTGACACGCTGGCAGATTCGGAAGAACCTACGGGCTGAGTCAGGTCGCGGTCAACCGGGATATCATCCATCACGTCAATTTCCAATCCAAAAAGATACATAAGTAACCCTGTTGGATGGATGAGGGGGGAGCGGGGGCACCCTAGAGGCAGGGCCGAGGGAGGGAGTGAGGGAGAAAGGCTTCGATCAGCGATGCGGAGAAACTTTGGGGCCCTAGAAGCTCAAGCCAGAGCAGGGCCTCGATCATCGCAGGCCTCGATCCCCTTCCCTACAGTCTCGAATTGCGTTGCCGTTGCTTGACCCAACTCAGATCTTCCTCCCAGCTAGCAGCTGTCTGTTGGGTTTTGCACCAATTCGCCACCTTCATCGGGGTATCGGTCTAGCATTTCTTGCTCACTTTGCGCCTTTGCTGCTCTTTTTTTTTTTTTTTTTTTTTTTTTTTTTTCTTCCTTCCTTCGTCGTCTTCCTCCTCCTCCTCCTCCTCCTCCTCCTGTCCTCTGGCTGGCATTATCTCGACTTTGATGACGCTGAATTAGGGTTTTCAAGTGTCGCGTGCTGGGATTGCCTTCTATTGAGGTTCGTGCGTGCTGATGACTGCACTTATTGCTCTCATGTACTGCTGTGGCAGGAGTTTTTGTGTGGGTTTTCGTATGCGGTTGTGGTTTTAGCCGCTGGGTTATGGTTTTGTGTTTTTGTGCGGCGGGTGTGATAGCCAGTGAGATGAGGTTTTGAAAGTGTGGGGTGAGGTTAGAGCTGGTTTAGCTAAATAGTTGTGAATTGTCAGTGGTGGCTATGGTAGAGATTTTCTAATGAGAGATGCAGTCATGGCAGAAATGGAGGCCACGGAGGTGATTCAAGTGACGGAAGTGATTCAAGTGACGGAAGTGATTCAATTGACGGAAGTTGCAGTGGCCCCCGTTTCTGCCAACGATCAGCCTCCACAGGAAGAGAGTCATTTGTCTGCCTCTTCTGTGGAAGATCAAAACGTGCCGCTGCTGCCGGAGCAGGTACTACCTCCATCCGAGTCTGAAGAGGGTCAGACTGCAGCTGCCTTGGAGATCGCACCGTTGGAACAGGAACAAGGAGCGGAAGCTCAATTGGAGGAGAAAGCCCTGCTATCTCCACCTCCGATTGACGTAAAGGCGGACACTGCGCTAGATGAGAGCACGCCTGCCAGAGGATCCACCCCTCCTGCAGGGGCGAAGAGAATCCGCGAGGGTGGGGAGGAGAAGGATGGCGAGAAGAAGTGGGCAGGCTGGCCAGGCGACAATGTGTTTCGTCTTATCGTGCCTGTTCAGAAGGTAGGGGGTATCATAGGTCGCAAGGGAGAGTTCGTGAAGAGAATGTGTGAAGAGACGCGTTCCAGAATCAAGATCCTCGAGGGTGTGCCTGGCACCGCGGAGCGAATTGTAAGCCCTCTCGCTTAGCCTCTCGAATTTAGAATTTTAATAGCATTTTTGCAGCAATTGAGTTTCAACTGCGAAGTACCCAAGTCAAAGAAAACTGTTTTGAAATTGATCGGGATGCTTACCGACTACGTACATTCTAATTTCAGATTAGGGTTGTATTTTCGACTCTCTTCGTACCAATCGCTCAAATATGTAGCTTTGTTATTACTGGCGAGTGAGTACTTGCAGCGTACTCTGCCTTTCGAACTGCATGGTGTATTTATCAGATCAATCTCCTCACTCGATTCCACTATTGAGCTAAGACAATCCCTGTTGAGCTAACTTTTTCTGGCATAAGTTTGGAATGGAGGATAAGTTCTTGCAAGGGATCACATGTAGGCAACTGGGTCACCTGAGGCTATATACTAGCTGGTTCTCTTTCGAAAACGAAAAAAGAAAAACAGAAAAAACCTCTTCCTCTCTATTTGTTCCTTCAGTGTATCCAGAGGTGTTTAGTTTCCAGGTTATAGATGCCTAGCCTAAAGTGAGGATTGCTCATGCCTGTTCCGTTACTGTTCTGTAGGTCATGGTTTCAGCGAGGGAAGACCCTGAAGCTGCAATTTCTCCAGCTATGGAGGGGCTTCTACGTGTTCACCGGCGCGTCATTGAAGGGGCCGAACCAGAGTCGGCGGATGCGGAGATTGCACCTGGGGGTGCTCCAGTGTCATCTCGTCTTCTGGTGGCTGCTACTCAAGCTGGTAGTCTCATCGGTCGCCAGGGTGCTACAATCAAGTCTATCCAAGATTCCTCCGGCGCTACTGTTCGTGTTTTGCCTGCTGGTTAGTGGGTTTCTTTGGACGTCATCATAATTTATGTTGCTGTTCTATCAGTACTTGGGAGAGTGGTGAGATGTGTCCTTGTCTTGCTTAATTATCAGCTTCTGGACACAAGAAAGGTCAAGTGGCATTTACTTCATCATCGTCCTATTTTTATGCGACTTAAAGCTCACTTGTGTATAATAGTCTTACTGACACTAGAATGTCGACTTGTGGTGAGGAATGGAAAGCAGAGGAGCTTCCACTGTGTGCGCTAGCAGATGACCGAGTTGTGGAAGTTACGGGCGAGCCTCGCAATGTTCAGCGTGCAACGGAGCTTGTTGTCGCACACCTTCGCAAATTCTTGGTGGATAGGAGTGTCCTTCCTTTGTTCGAGCTAAATGTAAGCTGTTTACACAAGCTACCCTGAATATCGGCAAATTTTTAAAGTTGTCAAAGCGATAAGTCAGTGCGTTGAGTAATGAAGATGGAGGAAGGGCGTTATGCATATGGGTCATAGTTGGTCTCTTCTATTGTGTAGTTATGTAGTGGAGATATACCATGCGTGTGGTCGTGCTGATATTATGTGTTGAGTCTCTTACTGTGTTGTTTCCTCGTTTCTTCAGCGGGCAGTAGCAAATCAGAGCAACCAGCAGAGCACAGCCTCTCAATGGCAGCAGCCGAGTAGCACCCAACAACAGCAGCCACCCAATTACAGTAGCAACGACTCCTCTTACTATGGAGCCGCTGAACTTCCGCACCATTCTCAACCACAACAGCAGTCACATGACCTAGCCAATCATCATCACGGTCTGTCTTTGTATGGCCGGGATCCCACGTTAGGAGGCACTATTGTACCTCCAACTCCCGCTCCAGTGATCACGCAGGTACGTCCTTCTCCCCTATGTACTATTTTCACGTATTCTGGTTTCCCAATACGTAACTCTCATTAAATATATTCGAGTTCGTGCAAAGACCATACTTTTGTTCTGAAAGCGATTGAACAGTTTGAACCAGTACTAGTTGAGTAACACTAGCTTGACCGTTACGGTTGTAATCTCCCGTGGGGTTTTTTTTTTTTTTTTTTTTTTTTTTTTTTTTTTCATGGATGCATAAACTGACTTAACGATTTGCGCACAGGTGACTCAACACATGCAGATTCCACTCTCGTATGCAGACGCTATCATTGGTGGCGCAGGTGCTAACATCAGCTACATGCGTCGTACTAGTGGTGCTACAATCACGATCCAAGAAACTCGGAGCGTGCCTGGCGAGATGACTGTTGAGATTCATGGTAGCGCATCTCAAGTGCAAACTGCTCAGCAATTAATACAGGTAAAATGCAGACTGTGGAGGGATAGGGGTAGGTGAGGAGGGTTCACATGCATCTCAACCAACAACCGCCTTTTACTGGGGTGCTTTGCCTTAGTTGTAGATTGGCATGTGAAGATTTCGATGAATCAATGCCGAGTTGTTTAGCAAGATTACAAGTATTAAAAAAAAAACCTAAATAGGATAATCGGGATGACTGACCTGGACTGTCACGAATGGGTCAATATCACCACAATTAAGCTGCATTGTCTGAACATGGTGGGGGAGTTTGGTGCAGATGCAATGTAATTCTTGCCAGCCTATACAGGAGGATCATTATCAGGTCACTGAGGACACAGTGCTATGACCCCTGTGCATATAAATGAAGGATAATTCTTTATTGTTATTTTGCTGTTAGTGTCATGTAATTATTACTAAGCATTCACCTTTCAAGAATCAATGTAAGTCGATAATATCATATTATCTTAATACTATGATGTTTTTAGCAGGAGAAGATCTGTTTTGACGTTGGTCTTGTGGTTTGCGCTTTGCAGAATTTCATGGCAGGCGCATCTAGTGGACCCCCGCAGTACTCCAGCACTTACAGCAGCACAGTGGACACCAGTTACAGCTCATACCCAAGCCAACCTGCTATGTACTCAACAACCCCCGCAACAGTTCCGCCCACGGCATCGTATGCGTCGCATTACAGTACATCTTATGGATATTAGTTTATATGTATATGGCCTGTCTGGAACAATCGGAAGCTCTGTAGCAACAATTGATGACCTTCAAAAGGTCGAGGGTCCCTGTCCAACACAAGTTCGGTGGATTTGGCAGTATAATACCATCCTATCCGCCAACTAGACTTCAAATCTATTCGTCCAAATTTTGGCATTGTTGTTTCGTGGTGCACCGTCCGTCAGGATGTGGTTCCTCTCAACATAAAACTACGTGTGTGTGCGGCGGCTTTTTTGTTTGTTTGTTTGCTTGGTTAAATAAATAGTTCGATTTTTTTGTTTATTTTTATTCCTTTGAAGAAATGGGGCCCGGTCACTCGAAACCTTCATGTAAATTTCTCGAAGCTGATTACGAAAACATGATTTCTGAACTCAACTTGCTCCTCTCCTTTGTTATGCCCTAAGGTTGAGACTAGGTTCTGGGGGAACTGATGTAGGCAGAATCGACACTACATCCTCTCCATCTTGGGGCAAGTCAGAACTTGTATCTGGTGCACAGAACATTAAAAAAAAATGGCGCAATAAGTAACAACTTTGAAAGACTTGAAAAGGATCTTTGCAAAGGTGTTGGACTCAAACTTAACCTCTCTCTCAGACTGACGTCAACTTCTCATGAACCTATCAGCAGCCACTGCAATCTTCGAGATCTCGGGTACTTGTTTCGCATGTCGGCAAGTGTCTCGAATGGCAGGGGTCACACTCAAAGCCAGACCGCATGCAGGTGTGATCCTCGTCCTCACGAACGCCATCAAGCAGCTATCCTGCTTGGATACCCCTGCAATTGTCATCGCCAATCATGCAACTTCCAACAATAGGTTTCTGGATTACTCATTCCACAAGAGGATGCTCTTCAATAAGGGGATTCAGACTTAAGGTTTTTGGGTGATATTTCACCTGTAATGATATCTTAAAGTATCCTGTGATATTTCAAAATATTACTTGATACTTCACCAAATCACCCACCTAGCAATATGGGTGATTTTGAAATCCAAGTATCAAAAGAAGGGTCAGAGATATATCAAAAACTGCCTCACTTGCCGTATCAATCTTTCCATGACTCCATACCACACTGCTCTGACTTTTCCAAAGCACCGAAATATCAAGTGATACTTCAAAAACTTGAAGATGGTATTAAAGTTTGAACAGTGATATTTTGAATGATCTGTGATATTCGGTTTCTCAAAAACCTCAAATCTAAATCCCCTTAATCTCATCTCTTCTTCTCATCAGTTCACTCAAGACAACAGCCCCATGAAGCAAATGAAGGCATAATTTCATACTCCTTTCTACCATCCACAACTAGTAACTCTCGTTGTAGACTGTTTTTTGTTTCTGTTTTTCTTTTTCTTTTTTTCTTTTTTTTCTTTTGTTTTATTTTTGGGTTTGTTGGATTTGTTGGGTTTGAATGGAGCCACCGCCTGGCATCTCCATGATTTTGTCTTTAGGATTGTCAACTTGGCCACCTGTATATTTGAAATTAGTGTACATTTTTGTATGTATTTTGGTATAAATACCGTATATTAAATCGATGACAACCAAATAAAATAAAATAAATCGAAAGATTATAAATCATTGAATCCAAAAATAATTCATTTGAAATTGGAAGAGTTGACAACAGTCCAGCTATGCAAGTGTAAGATTAAATCCTAATCAATATGTATTAGTGATTATAACACTAACTAGTCTGGAAAAAACAATGTATTACTGCCATTTGATATACATAAACCTGATTTTTTTTTAAATGCCAATTTTTTTTCTTCATATTTTTAGAATCAGAGTTTTGTGTACATGATATTACTTTTGAAGTTGATAGATATTGGTATAAATAAATAATGGAAAATGGAAATCTGTGATCTATTCGTTTTAATTCAAACATTTATTTAATTGGGAATTTTAATGTTAGGACACATTTTCATCAACATGAAGTTGTTTTTGGTTGTATTATTAGAATTCACCAAAATTGAAGTTGTTTTTGGTTGTATTGTTAGAATTCACCAAAATCGAACTTGTATGTCTACTACTTTTTATCCATCCTTGCTTGGTTCATCAAGGATATATAGATTGTATACATAATAATTTTACTAAGGTCAAATAAGTACTCATCTTTGGTAAGATTAATAACAAGCCATAAAATTATTTTGATTAGGTGAGAAATGGTGATTGATATGTTTTAAGTTTGCTTGTGTAAAATGATTTAATTTTAGATTACAGAAATATGTGTATGCATGCTCATATATAAGTGAATATATATATATATATATATATATATACACAAGCAAACTTAAAACATTTTATTATATATATACACACACACACACATACACATGTTTTTTTTATTTATTTAATTATGGTAACAAATGATTGACAAATAGTGTATACAAAAATTACATTAGTTAATATATCCACAAATTTATTATCACAATGATTGAAGACCATAAAAATTCAACATTGATCAATCCTAAAACCTTTCGTAGAACTTATAAATGACCAGAAGAATCCTCACACTTCAATATTGATAGGACAAAAAATGCATTGACAACACCTCAAAATCATCATGTGTAGAATCATGTCAGAATTCTTGAATTTTGCATTTCTTTTCAAAGAGAAACCTGAGATCGAAAACTCATTATGCCACTCTTGTTTTATTGTAAAACACTTTATAAGCATCTATATTTCAAAATTCATAAGCATCTACATTTCAAAAGAACTTGCAACCAGTACGCAAACTTTAATGTTTAATTTGTACACCAAAATTTTATTCGTTTATTTAATTTGACAGACCATGATTTTATTTATTTAATTTTGTACCTTCATTTCATATATATACCTGAGATAGTAAGAAGTGAGTAGTAAGGGTGGTACCATTCCTGCACAGACTCACAGATCATGGCTTTTGCCCTCTCCTGGCAGAAGATACGATCCTGTGGGCCAGTTGCCATAAACCTAAGTTTCCTCTGTCAGCTTCTATTGTAACAGTAGTAAATGAAGTTTAAAAAAAAAACCAAATAACGACACAAAAGCCAACCATGCGAAGGGTAGAAAGGCTCAAACCTGGCGTAATTCTTCCACGTACAGGAGATCTTTGCAAGCACATGCTGGGTGAGTGATCTCCCTCACTGACACCAACTGACCAGCTCATCCACTTTCTCCATCTCAGCTCTCACTTTATCCTCCCTAAAATCTTGTTGGGTCCTTCTCCCTTCAGTCCAAACACATTCACATCTTTGTAACACATTCTCACACCGTAAGTAAAATGCTTTAGGGAGTTGCAAAAAGCCTTTGAAGAGAATACATCACACATCAAAACAATGATCTTTGAACTTGCGGGAGAGTTGATGAGAGAGTTGATAAGCGTGAGGTTATGAGTGAAGTTGAGAGAATTAATGAGGGAGACTTAGTTGCCCAACAACTTGGAGTGCAGGGGAGAAGGGTATTCAACCTGTAATGTGTAGAGGATCAGACCTTGGGAGCTGATTCAACTCTGGCAGTGCCTGGACTTGATGGCCCACCTGCAAGGCTGCAAATGCTGCCAAACTAACCTTCACCAACAATCTCCACCGAATTTATTTCGCCCCAGTTCGTTGCTTCTGTTTAGGGTGTGCATACTGCAGCCAGTCCAGCATCGACGCATGGGCAAAGTACAAGCTCTCTAACCTGACAGATCCGGTTCTCCTTTCACGTGGTGAGAGCACATTGTCCGGCGTGGTGGTACATGTATGAGAAGAGCACTACGGCGATGTATGCCTTGAGTATTGTACATGGAACAGTACATGAGTTAGTCAAGTCGGCGGTTTACAGATAAGGATTTGACTGTGAAGACTGGTAATTGTAATAAACTGCATATTTATGAAAAACTCCACTCAGATCTTGATGCGAAGATTCGAAACAACATTGCGATGACAGTTGGGAAGGTCTACCATTACTCCGGTCGTTGAAACTACGAATGTAAATTTTGCTCTGTAGGAGGGGTTGTCTCGACTCAGGCTGATTTGAAAGTATCAGCCACAGTGTTATTACGGCTATGATCCTAGGAAACGACGAAATGAAGAATGGCGGATATGAAACTCTTTTCTTGGAGAACAAGTTAAATATGATCCAGGGAGACAGAATGTTCATAAACTGTGCCAACAATTGTATTAAACCGAAGTGTACCAAAAATGGTGTTTAAACATGAGGATCATCTGCGAAAACAGAAACCTCTATTAACTAACTAACTTCATCCTCTTCTAGCTATAGGTTCTCAGAATATGGAAGCGATTCCTGCAGCTGCAACGGCCAAGGTCGCCACCCAGCTTGTGTGCAGAAGTCGGGAAACATCATTCGTTAATGCGGGGGCTGCGGCAGGACCTGTAACTGCACCAGCGCCAAAATCGCAACGTAAGTTGTGGAATGGTACACTGTGTGTAGGTAACAAGTGCAGGCGACCATGAAGTAAGAATACGAGGCAGTAGCAGGAGCTGCAAATAGCTAATGCAACACTAGCCCACCATTAAACGGATAATCCTCAGAAAACCAATGCATTCGATCATTTATGTGGACCGTAGGACATCAATTGTTTGAGAATCCTGCCCATGTTCAGTGATATGTCCCTTACTGTGTTCTAATGTTAGTTCCCGCAAGAAATTACACATCGAGGAAGTTTAGTTTAGATCGCCAGTTTGAATGCGATACATACCTGAAGATCCAGCCACTGGTGGTGCAAGAGGTAAATTGGCCAGAGCTGCAAAATCCGAACCATTTAGAAGAGAGTGTAGTTGAGTATCTTTCCACGATTAAGCAACATATTGACTGGAATACATCAACATGCTCTATGTCTAGTGGGTACATCCCAGAGATCACTAAAAAAATAGCATATTCTTTCTTCCAATCCAAGTAGCGAAACTTCACACACCACAGTTGAAGGACGACAAGAGGATTTATGTGCATTGGTTACGACCGAAGGATGGTCGACTCTAAGCTCAATGCAGCTAACATGAGTAAGCCATGGCAAAGTGTAAGACCTCGCTTTGATCATTCCTTGTTTCAAATGCTTTGCTACCATCAGTATTGTACCTCTTAACGTCGCCAAGAGAATGTTAATATTCTGAACTTAGCGCTGGTAAATATTAACGAACGCCTTTGTCTTAAAAGCATCAACGGACAGTTTTAAGTTGACACAAGAATCCATGCCTACGGAAGAATAAACTATTTCGCTGGAATCTAACGTGCTACAATTTAAGTGAAGGGTCAAAGAGCAAATTCCTACCAAGGCTAAAGTAAGTCTTTACCTGGACAATCGCTGGTGATCAAGGTGACCGAACAATCCCTTGGAAGGGCTAACACTTTGGCAACGTTAACATTCGACGATCCGCTGGAAGTACTGTTCAGCTGCGTGATCAATTGACACAGGCAAGTGGGATTGTTCGTGTTCAAATCCTTCAAGCCGCTGCAACATTCCGTGGGTGGTTTCGAATCCGATCCCGTCACATATGTAAGGCACGGCACTAACTTCATCTGAGCTGACTCGCAGTTGCTTGAGGGAGTCGACGCCGACATCACACCCACCACCACCATCGCGAACACCACAGCTGCAAGAGCCATCCCCGATCTCGCCATCTCTATCTTGCTTCACACTCCGCCACTGCAAACAGACACTCCCTCTCATTACCAATACAGAAAAAGATGAACAAAGAACAAAGAACTGCCACCATAACCCAGGTTACGTCCAATACAACCAGCGACTATGGTCCAATGGAAACAACGCCAACACCTTCTTTACATATCGTCTTATCACCACGTATCAAGCAAGTCAGTGAGGGAGAAGCTCAAGGGAAGAACACTAAAATCAACTCAGCTCTTACAGAATCAAGCCTCTTATATCCCTAACGTATCAAAGAAACTCAGACAGAACCAAGCAACGGTTCCGACCTTAGAGAAAACCTACAGGGACCCAATTAAAGAAAGTCCAAGCTGAAATACCCCCTTGAGCACACATTCCCACACAGCAACAACAACAAGAAGCTCTTTCTCACTAAACTTGAGTCACTTCGAACAGCTGTGCACCAGCAAACCAGACCCACAAACATCCATGACATCAGCTGCACTACACTACACTGCAGCAGCAGCAGAGATCATGCATGGTTGCAGACAGACAGTCAAACACACAGACAGTCACTCCGCAGCAAGCAGGTGTGGGGCACGATGGGGGAGGAATAGTGAGCCACCCTTGAGCAGCAGGACTTTCTGCATTACACACACAGTTAAACACACACACCCACACCCACAGATATATATATATATATATATACACACACACACACACAGTAACACACAGTAACACATGAAAATAGATGGGAGTGAGTACCTGGAAACTAGGCCTTGCTTGGCCTGGAGGAGCTGCAAGCAAGCAGACACAGCGAGAAGAAGAAGGAGAGGCGGCCGGTGCTCGATCAACCACAATAACATGGGGCCTTCCTTCACATGTTTGAATCCACAGGTTTGAATGAATGAATGAATGAATGAGGGAGTGGGATGGGTGGTGGTCTTGGATGGGACGCCCAAGTAGTATTTGAAAGATGGGGCTTTTTGTATTTTTTGTATTTTTTTTTTTGATTGTTGTTTTGCTCATGGAGGGAGGTGCTTTTTTTTTTTTTGAATATTAATATGTGTTTTTTTGGTTGACATTCACTAGGAAGATTTTAGGTTTTGGTTCATGGTTAGTTATAGGTTGGGTTTGCTTTTGCTTCAATCTAATTAATGAAATTGGTAGCATCCAAGTTTTGTAACAAGAACATGCTTAGTGCATCATAATTTCTCCAAAACTAAATACTATATTAATCTAATAAATTTATATATTCAAAATTATATAAATTTAGATAAATTTGAGGTCATGTGGTGAGGACTTATTAGATGTGTTTTTTTTAGTTTTCTAATAAAATAATAATAAACTAAAATTTCATACTTTATTTTTTATAACCATTTATTTTTTGTTACCTTTTATGCAAAGAATAGGGGAATAAAAGGAATTTTAAAAAAACCGAGGCATAATGAAGTGTTACACACTTCCAAGACTAAGGTGTGAAATTAAGATCACAACAAAAATATTTGAGAGTTGATTTTTTTATTCTTGAGATTTTGAAGTGGCAACACAAATGTTGTAAAAAAATTATAAAAAAAAACATTTGTAAGATTGGTTTGAAAGCAACTATTAAGTAATGATACCTTACAAAATTAATTTGCTCCTGGGGACAACTTTTTGCTAGAAGACTAAGTATGCATATATGTGTGTGTGTCTCTCTCTATATATATATATATATATAATTTTAGAATAGAGCCATAAGTAGTACTATTAAAGCAATTTAAAAAGTAAATTCAATTTCTCTTTTAATAATGATTTTGTATATTATAATGTTACCTGTCTTCTTTGAAATAAATAATCTACAATCTATGGTATTGTATCAGATATTTTTGAAAAAAATTGCAGTTGAAAGGATTGTTCAACCAATTTTTAATTTTTTTTCTTATCTTGGCTAAAATAAATGGAAGTATTTTAGAGTTATTTATCAAAATAATAACCTTCAAAGTAATTAAATAAATATATATGTATGTAATTTTTTAAAAATTGAATGAAAAAATTATAAAAATCGAATTGATATAGATGCAGTTGAAAATGTTTAAAGTTAAAATACCAAAAATTTAATTTTTTTCATGACATATTACATATTGCAGCAAAAATTAACAAAAGTCATTTTGAATAATGTTAGTGTATTTTCTTTCTTCTATGAACCAAACCTAAAACAAATTAAAATATATTCTAATTGTGTTATGATTATTTTTATTTTAAAAAATCATCAGTTACAATACATTTACATGAAATTTACTAAAATTATTTTAAAAACCCAAACATGAAATAAAATAATAATAATAATAATAATAATAGAATAAAAAGTTTGAAATGTACTAAAAAATAATCAACTAAAAATCCAAAAAATAAATCTTTATTATAAAGCATAATAATAGAAAGTAAAAATAAGAAACATCCTAGCATGTAAAAGAATATATTAAAATATACACACATATATAAATACATACACATACATATATATATATATATATATATATATATATAAAGAATATCCTATTTTTAATCAAAATTTATTGTAAGTAGTAGTGTCAATTCCTATAAAGAATTAGGAATTATATTAAACCATCAAGATACGTTTAACATCCATGTTAAAATTTTATTTTTCTTTGGGAGTATATTCATCTTATTGAAGCGTTGCAAATGACTTAATTAAAATTTCTTTTTCATTTTATGCTAATAAAAATAAAATAGAAAACTTAAAAGTCTTGAACAATATGCCATGTAGATAACTGTAATGGGATTCACTCCGCAAAATCTAATATGATAACAAGATGAAAAAGATAAAATAATGTAAGAAAAAAGTTTTAATATTTTAATTTTTCCAAAAGAAACCTCAACTTGGAATCTATTAATTAGTAAAATATGTGTCTATATATGTATCAGATGCTCCTTTGAGTTGTAAGTGGTGCAAATGGTGACAAAGTTGTGGGTTTTGGTTGTAAGTTGAAGGGGAATGTCAATTGGAAACTCATCAAACATAGAAATAATTGTGATTATATGGCGAAGCATTTAGCAATTTCATTATAATATCTTGATTTAGTTGTGGAGGGGCTCGGCGGATTCCTGAAACAGGTTAACATACAATAAGATTACATGCTCACTCTCACACACACACACACACCTAATTTCTTAAAACCGCGGATTCACCCCAAATTCGTGAATTGTGCTGCTGAAGATGAGAAATGCACTCTCGATTTCATGCGATGAAGATGAAGAAGTTGATGAAGGAGAGGTCGGCGATGGAAATTCAAAAAGAGTGCAAAACACTGGGACACACTCGCCATACTAAAATAGCGAAGTGCCCCTCCGATGTGTGCCAATTGCGGGGACTGACTGCACTTCTACGGTGTCTGCGATCCCACCACCACCACCACTGGCGAAAAACAGACAGACTGCACCACCGTCAGAATCATCAACAGCAGAAGCAGAAGCAGAAGCTGCAGCAAAAGCCAGATTTGTGAATCAGTCAGTCGCGGCCTTCCACACGGCGCCAACAATGCGCGACAGAATCAGGAACAATACCGCGGTTCTGGAGAGCACTGATCCCCGTACCTCTCCCTCCACCTCTGACTCTCACCAGCAGCAGCATCGCCACCAGGTCCAAGTCTCCGTCAGTCTGTGGATCAGGTCCCTCCCTCCCACCCACTCACACACTCACTCACTCACTCTCACTGATATTGTCATCCTTTCCTCCCTCGGCGTCGGCGCTGTTGTGTTCAGTCCATCTGTGGAGCTCTGTCGATTGACTGCATTTGCGGCGATTTCCAGAGAAGCAATTAGACTTGGCGAGACCGCAATGGGGTGAGGGGAATGTTGAGAGGGGAGAGTCAGTTCAGTCTTTGTTTTCTAAAAGGACTGGAAATGTGTAGTTAGTTGTTTTGTATTACTGTGATTAATTGTGTTATTGCCGCTTGTTTGTAGAACTAATAATAATAATAATAATAAAATGCATTGTTACAAGTAGTGAGTGATTTTTGCTAAAATAACCAATAGTGATTCCAACTTATGAATTACTGTTTTAGCACAGTACTTTCCCATGTTTTGACTAAGTATAAAGTTTCTTGCTTGAATTGAACTGAGAACTAACTTCAGACTAGTATAACCTTAAGGAAATATTATTTAGAGAGAATTAGATGAAGTTTGAAGTAAAACATAAGATTATGATGTAGAAATGCAATTCAAGGCCCAACTTTTACTCTTTACAATCCAGATTTTTAAGTTGGTTTATTTATTTAATTAAAGTTAAACAATTGAACCATTGTAATAATATAGAATAAAGGAATTAGAATATATTGTCTAAAGTATATAGAATATTCATTAAAATATTATCAACAGTATAAATTATAATTTATTGAGATTAAGGTCTATTATTAACTTATGTGTTAAGTATCACTTTTAAACATTGTAAAGTATGATGATTTATTTATAAATTGAATTATGAACTTCAAATGATAGAAGCTTGTAAAATGTCTACTCATTTTTACAAAAAAAAGTAAAATTGTTTTAATATATCACCAATAGTCTCATTGATTTGAAGTAGGATCCTCATGACTGGTTTAACTTTTCGTATTAAATTTTTCAACTTTTTTCTTGCTACAACTTTTTAAAAATAAAAAGTAAGAAATAAATATAACCTTCACTTGTTTCTATATTTAGAATATCTACATAAAGCTCTAATTAAAATATGTACACACATATGATTTGATTTTTAAATTCACACTAAAATTTCTATTTAAAATTGTAATATTCAAATTCATTCAAAAGATTTTCATTATCAATTTGTACACAATTTACATTTTACCCTTTTCATCACTCTAGTTCATGATTTTAAAAAAAAACATAATCGTTACTGAACTTTTGTGAAAAAAGCTTACCTCTACCAGCACTTTCCACTACATTACGCAGATTCGAATGTTGATCATATCACAGTTCTACATATAATATTGGATGATATTGAACTAGATTCAAAGAAAGTACTGTGTGACACATTAACTTGTAATGTCGAACCACAATATACAATTATCAGAATGATCAGAAAACCCATATCAACAAGTGCATATCACACTCTAGAATAAACTCTACAATTTCATAATGCAAAACCAACGCTAGTTCCACCTGCACTGCACAACTCAATTCGACGTCTTCAATCACTGCTTTTCTGCAAGTAATGAAGATACAGAACTATTCTACCTCAGTAAATGTAGTCCACGGAAACTTGAAACAACTCTCTTGCCACCAGGACCATTCAGCTGCTGGTCACAGATTGTCTAGATATGCAACGTTCATGGCACACATTCACAAATACCCACACAGATAATGAAGTCGTTAGACTTTTTATCCATAACATGAGATACAAAGAAAAAAAAGGTTTACACAACGGAACAGATTTTGGATAAAACAGGGGGAACACAGCATTCTGTCTCCAGTTTCATGATCTTAACAGTAGGTAAATAAAAGCATTCAATATTCCTGTGTATTAAGCTGATCAAAGATATTTCATCCATAATTAATTCTCCAGTAACGACCCAATTCACAAGCGTATGAAGAGCAAATTAGTTGTGCATTTGGTAACCAAATTCTTAATGTGTTGCAGAATTTCTTAAATTCAATATAAAACATGTCCCCAGTATTCACTTGTCAGACGCAAGGTAAAAGAAGGAGAAAGAATGTATGCTATAACTAAATTAATGCTGCTAAAGAAACGAGCTTCAAGATGGACGGGATTAAATGCTAGTTATACCCAGTGTGCCCTCCAATTCTAAGCACATCACGACAATATGATACTTTTGATCAGATCATTGTACGCTACAACCGCAAAAACATCAACCTAAGGGGCCCACTTGCAGAACTGTTATCTTACTGTTAAAAAAGATTTGTCACATCGTCTCAGACCATCAAGCATATGAAACACCATTTGCTGCACCACTTCATCTGCAAACATTACAAAAATGTCCATCAGAATTCGTAATCGAACAAGCAGGCCTCCTAGTTGCTGAGAAAATCCTTGTACATTCACAAGTTTCTTGTGCCAGTCACCAAGTTGTGATGTTTGCTGGTACAAAAGTAAAAGAAGGAAATCAAGAGGTCTAGGTGTACCACACCAAAACTCACCTCCTGGAGCTCGAATAAGAGCTGCACAGAGTTCAAGCAAAGCTTCCTTGCAAGGAATGTCATGCATTGTCTTGTCCAAAGTCAAACCATCACGATCCAGTCCACTCGAATTTTTACTCAATCGTAGTTTAGCCAGATTCAGGTAGGGTAAATGACCAGCTCCTACTTCATAACGGGAACATGCTTTAGCTCTCTGGAAAAATCGGGCTGCAAGACTAATGTCGCCAGCGTCCCATAACTCACACGCCACATCATTCCAAGGATTTCCTGTCCAGAACACGTGATTTCATGAAATGAGTGCAAAACGCAACAAGCGGATTTCTGACAATCCCACATGCAAACACCATATTTTGAATAAATCATTTCACAATTTCTGCAGTTTCGATTTAAATTTCACGACTGCATACTAACAAATACGAGGAGAAATCACTGGTAGCTACTGCGAACCAGCAAGTTCCATTACAACGAGACATCACAGAACAAGTGCCTCCAACGTATTCTGAATTCAGTATGTTAGTCAGGGTCATTACCATAATCATTGTCAAGAAATATAGCACGAGCACACTCACGAACACATTCACTTCGGTGTGCACCAGCCTGCAGAAAATCCAAAACCGATACCATTAGAACTTTCATTTAGTAAATACCTTAATGACAAAAAAAAAAAAAAAAAAAGAAAAAAGAAAGAACCTTGTTCATATCCAGAAATCTCACAAACTTTAAATATGACTAAATCTACAAGGTTTTTCTTTTTCGACAACATGAAGATCACTAAGATAGCGGTGAACTCACAAGTCGTTGCATCCATGCCATGAACGTGTAAGCTGCAGCACTAGGGTTGAAGTGACAAGCAGCTCGAAATGCATGTGTGGCAGCACCCATATTTCCACCTGAAAGCTCCATTTGGCCTTGCTGGAACTGATGAGTTGCTGCTGCATATGCAGCCTGAGTATCCCCTTCCAATCTCCCAACTGGTGGCTGCATTTCAGTTTCGGTACGCCTACCATGCGTATCCTGTAATTACAAGGCACAATTGAGTTCAAAATATTTTAGAAATTAGTTTCTTATCACATAGGAAATTCCTCTAACAATATATGGAGATCTAAACGGGAATGTAAAATTTACCAAGAAATACAGACTTAAACATGATATCCCAACATGACCCGAACAGGCCACAGATCAGAACATGCAAAGAAAATGTCAAATGGGCTGACTTCAAAAGTTCGTTCCCGTGAAGGTCATTTACAATAGTGAAATAAGAAGCTTACATCTTTGTCTTGCGATTTCTCAGTATTTTGTTGGTCATCCAAGGCAGGGCGATTTTCACGTGTACCAACATTCTCATTAGACTCACGAAGTGTGTTATCATCCGAGGGAGAACCAGGTATCTTGAAGTCCACGCCCCGTGCAGGGTAGAGCAACGGAGGTGGAGGTGGGGGTCGAGCCGGAAATGGAGCTGCATTGGGAAGTTGGTTCCCAGCTTCAACCATAGCTAACCGAACGCAACCGCCATTAATGAGCTCCTGCGCGATCACACTAGCTTGATTTGGGTAAATAGCCTTGCAACCTACAAGACACAAAGCCTGTAAAAAAACGTGCATCACAACGTTAGTCAAATCGAACTTCAGAACTCTAACAACAGGATATGTAACAAAATCCTATTGACATCATAAAAATGTTACGTAGAAGACCAAACAAGCGAACATGAAAACCAATCATTGATACAAGATGCGCGTAGACGCAGATGTTAACTGAATGAAATACATAATTTTTAAGGAATACCTCAAGAGAAACACATCCGCAGAGGTACATGAGATTATCCACAGTAACACGCGAGCATCCAGCAAGAGATAGAATTACTAGTAGCTTCAGCTTTCTCCCAATTTCCTTCCTGTTGATTCCAGGAGCGCACAACAACGCTATTTAGAACTAATTAAGAATTAGATCTGTACGTAAAAAACAAAAATGAAAATGAATATGAAAACAAATCCTAAAATTGCTCAGCTGGTGAGGAAGATGCGTTATAAATTGCATGCTAAAAGAGAAATTTATGAATTAATTGTATGTAAACTGCAGAGTTTTCCAAAATATAGAATCAATCTGCTCCCGAACAAATAAAACTCTAATCGATAATTAACCATATAAGGCAACAAGAGGAACCTACAAGGTATGTTGAGAAACATTAACGCAAAGGCCAAGATCCAGTTCTCGTAATTGAGACAAGTTGGATAGTCCCGCTAAAGCTTGCCCGCTGACAGAATCTCGCCCTCCAAATAACCGAAGCCTTTGAAGTAGAAAGCAATTCTCAACAACCTTGTTCACCTTTACAATGGAAATGTAACTAGATTATTTCACTATCTATACACAAAGACAACGTTCAAACCAAGTAGAATTGCAAGCAAGCTGAAAAGATAAGAAGATATCAAACTGGAATAAAATCAGTGAAAATTAAGTTATTAAATACAACGCTTAATTTTCTAATCTATGGTTCTAAGTGCAAAACTTCAAATACAGCGACTTTTTTCCTTTTTTTCTTATCTTTTCTAACGTTCAAAGAAAGAAGCACACTGAAAGCAAAATCAAATCAAGATTGTATCATTCTGCAAAAAATGCTATGTAATATGTTTATAGTGAGAAACTTCACACATCGTATCATTCATTGTGGGATTGACATAATCGAAAACATGGCCGCCGCTAAAGGGTTAAATCCTTACCACATAGTCATCCAAATCACAGAAGGAAAGATCCAGACAAAGAAGCTGTTTTCCGCACTGAGATTGGATGAGAGATCCGAAACCTTGGCTGGATACACGCCAGCAGAGAGCCAGGGACAACACAGTCGTGTGCTGCCATGCAACAAACATTCCTTCAGCGATATGTCACAATAATGTAGCAATAATACAGCTCAATCAATGCGCCGTCATCAAATTTATAATTCCTGTCATTTGGAATATGACCTCTGGACTTGTAATAGAACCAAACTTCGAAACAACGATGTGTTTCATGTCAACTGACATCTAAACACGAGAATAATGAACATTAATGAAAATACATATACAACAAAGTCAAATGTGAACCTTCAGGCGCTTCTCTCCAAGAAGACCAAGCTCTCTGTCGCCAAGAGATTCGGCCACTGATACAAACTCTACGTGTCTCCACAGAGGCTCACAACTTGCAACATCCCTCCATCTTCGACAAACTGACGAAACACCAATGACCTCCCTCCTCGATAGCTTAGCAAATATGCGCATTCTGATATCACGCACAGAATATGATTAGAAACTCCGGTGCAACATACAACTCCGGTGAATACTTAAAAGGAATGCACTCTGATACAGAGAGACATACACTACAAAGTGTAGAGGGGGAGGAAAAAAAACCTCATGCAGGAGCAGGAAGCACAGACCAGGGGTATGAAAACAACAATACAAATTAACATGCCAATACATATCAAATGTGACGCACATTATTCTCTTTATGTAAATTCTGAAAAAAGAAAACTATGGTTTCATACAAAGACACGTTCTAAAACATCAACTTGCAGCCATGGTTATCACCCTAAACGTCATTGCTTCCAAAATATTCAGAGGTTCGTCTTCAATTAATAGAATGTTAGTTACTGAAACACTGTGCATACAAATTAATCATAGATAGTCAACCTCACCATATAAGGACCATTTTACGAGAACGTTATCCCGACGATAGCGATAAATGCCATGTGCACATAAGTCATACCCAACACGTCGGAACCATTGCACAGCCAATACCTCAATAAGAACAGGAAAGGCAAAACTCACAAGACATCATCTGAAACTCTATCAACAGGGGATAGATTTCCGAGGCGTTTCCTCCGAGTATCATCTACAAATTCACCAGCTTTCTCCAGATTCCTAAGGCAGCTGCAGTGGATCGGTCTTTCTGTACCAAATGAAAAGATTGGCCATGAGTCTCGCATAATCAGCCCTCTGGGAATGTATACTGGATCTTCTTGATGCTCCTGTCGATATGATATCTGCTTCAAAACTGTACATTGACATTTTGAAACACTCCCATGTGAAGGAATTTGATTATCTACGTCCATTGAACCACCTCTCCGCCCACATTCTAGACACTCGTGAATTTCCCTACATCCAAGAGTTTCATGACTACTGCCGGATTTTCCCGAGGTACTATCGATCTTCGTTGCGGACCTACCCTCGGCCTCATCTCCCGAACTCTGGCTTCTTGAGTCAGATTCCGAAGTAGAACTCTTCTCAGTTTCTTGAATTTCATTTAAGGAAAAGTTTCCTAGAGACATAAGAGCGGCTTTCAACAATTCGCCATCTGCTTGAGCCGAACAAGGTTGATGTCCCCAGCGTCCTGCCTGCCACGCAAACTGCTCGCTCTCTACCTGGCTGACTTCAGCCGCAGCTGCTCTTGCATTTTTTCGCAAAGCTTGATCTATCCGCAATGCGATGCGACCACTCTCATCCCAAACTGCGTTTCCTTTTGCTCCCCACAGCCACGTACTCCAAGCCCTCTCTTCTCGCCTCGCTTTCTTCTGCCGCTTACTTTTCACCATTTCGACTCTTAAACTAATATTGATTCAAGAAATTACGCTCCTGCTCCCACTCAAAGCCGGTGTTGAGCCAAGTGCGTCACGGGAAGAGGTTTACCTACATCGCGCAGTTCAAAGCGCAGAGGCAGCCTGCACAGGAATACCGGCAGTCTTTAAGAGCGTACCCAGACAGGCGAACTCCATTCAAGGTTTTCGTTCTTTGGAATAGGTGCTCAGTCCTCGCTCTCGAGACCTTCACTAAAATAAAAATAAAAAACACGACCAAAAATCGCGGGGCGTAAAGATACTAAACTTCCAAAATTCTAAACAAGAACGACCCCCAAGACTACATCTCCCTCTGTTGTATTCGTACTCTCCAAAACTGTGCACAAAGGAAAGCCTAAGCGTACACGAAGATCATAGACAGAATTGTCTTTAACAACACCGCATTTCAAGTGTAAGAGATCCATACTCTGGAGCAAGACAGAGACAGGCACTTCAGAAATTGCGAAGCCAGAGCCAAAAATACCACTTCTACTTCCGTTCCGTCGTTCCTTATTCTCTGAACCCACCCTCTCCCGCGAAAAGCAGACACTACTCTAGTTCTCTCTCACACACACACACAATTCCAATACCGCGTGCAGAGTAGCCTAAGCGAGATCACGCAAACAAGGATTCAACACTGTGCAAATCTCCTCACCACCACTACGAGCGTCTCCCTCATCTACAGATATTCATTCACGCACGATGCTATTCCTTCTCCTCCTCCTCCCCAGCAATCCTCAACCCCACCACACAAACCATCGCAATCTCTCGTCAATCGGGCTACGATCCAACCCCACTCCCCTGCTAAAATCGGCAAAACCAGAAACAAAGAAAGAAAGAAAGAAAGTGACAAACCAATTCTAAGCCAAGTCCACGAGCTTATCTATCTATCTATCTATCTCGGTGAAGGTAGTAGACAAGGTAAGGTACTACTTCTTCTTCTTCATGATCCTCCTCTCTTAGGGCTAAGCTCTATCATCATCGACGCAACAACAACAACAACAACGAAACTGAATCAGGACAAAAAAAAAACAAAGCAGGGAGACGTGCCCGTGTGAACGGGGTTGATTCGCACCCCAAATTTAAATAAACCCGCTGAGCTCCAGATTGTGAGAAAATATCTCCCCGCTAAGATCGCCACGTAAACCACTCACGAGCCTTAGAAAGGAACAGGTGGCAGCTTTGCATATATAGTTCTGGGCTGTGATTGGCGGAGGGGGGAGGAACCCCTGGAACCGTGATGCTGGGAGATATTTAGGCGCATTCTTCCTCCATTGGCCCCATTTCCGACCCCACCACTTCACCGTCCAGTCTGTCCCACCTGCCCTGCTCCGTGACGTGGAGTCCACCTCGGCAGGATCGTATCTGGGTGGGGCCGCGTCAGCACTACGTCGCCAGCGTGGCCCAACCGGGGGGAATGGGTCTGTCGGCAATGCCTCCGGGCCAATCACAGGGCGTTTTATTATCCTGGTGGGTATTCATTCGAACGGAAGTGCAGAGCCTGGTTCCCTCTTTCCCTGAAATGGATGAATGAACTTTTTCATCCATTCACTTCCTTGTTCTCATGTTCCTTCATCATATTTCCATATTTGGCTGATGAAAAGGCTTCTTTGTCTCTTTCTTACACCCCAAGCTGTTTTTATATAATAGAGACTGGGTTCATCTTTTACTATATTTTTTAATTTAGTGGTTAAAATAATAATTTATACTGCTCTAAAATTTATTACTTTCTTTAATTTCTTCAATTAAATATATACATTTATTTATTTTAAAATAAATTAGGTAAATATTTTTATGTATATGAATAAATTATTTATTCTTTTTAAGGTTTTTATTATGTTGTTTTTACCTATAGAATGGTTGGTTTTGGCATCAATAATGGCATAAACCATCATTTAAAGACTGGTGTGTAATTTAAGTGTAATCCAAGTCAGAATTTGTAGCTGTTCCTTTTCGCTGAGAACAAAAAAAGAAAAAAGAAAACATAAAAACAAAAAAATACACTTCAGTCAATTGTTATTGTTAGTGTGTGGATATATATATATATATATATATATTTAAAATATTTTTGATTTGACTACTCAATCAAATTGAACATGAAGTCAATATGAATCCATCAAACACACAATGACCACACACAGAAATCCAGTCCAGAATGTGCACCATTATAAATATAATAAAACTAGCATGAGCAAACCACGTGATTATAACAAAGCATAGATGGACTTGCATTTTGTTTTAAGGATGCTTAGAATGAGAAAACATTATCAAAAGCAATACATGGATGTTTAGTGAATCAATCATCTATTAAAACAATCAGAGAAACAAGCAAATTCCTCATAGATATTTCTCTTATTAAACAGAAGTTCTCAAATCTACATCAATGGTGCAGACTTCAGAACTGATTATGCTAAGAAAGGAAGTGCCATGTAGAGAATCCACACTAAGTTTCATCACTTCTTTTGTAATGACAATGATAAAAAATTAATCACAATAAAAACCTATACCATGGCTTCAATTATAGTTCTTGGCCTTGATGTCAGTGCCACACTGGGATGGGGCATGCACCTGTGCTCTCATCTTAGTGAAGGGCCTAGCAAAGAGAAAGCAGCTGGGAGTGCACAAACTTAGCATGGGACCCAACAGCTTCAACAAAAACAATATCATCAACAACATGGGTTGCAACTTGCAAGTTGCAGATATTTTTTTTGCTTGCCAGGTCTACAACACCCACTTGACATTGCTGGTCAACTAGGGCAGAGAGAATGGCCTGCCCTGGTCTTTTGCAGCCCCAAGCAATTGGCTCCTACAAGCTGCTCTGCCATGCATCCATGTTTTTATCTCAGGGAGATGTTGCAGGATACATAGCACTTTTCTACACCTCTCCTTCACACTCAGAAACAAGTCCTTATTTTGCAAACCCTAATCTGACCCTGAAGTTGTTGTATAAATATGTGTATATATATATATATATATGGGTTGCACCTGCTCTTCGATATCACATCAGTATCTGCACATATACTGTGAGAGACGTTGACCATTGAATGAAGAGTTTGTTTATTTTTATTCGACTCTGTGAAGTAGGGCTTCACCGCAAACGGCTAAAATTATATTTCCTCAGAAAAAGCACATGAGCGATTGACAATGACCTCCTGTGAGGTAGAAGCATCGGGAAATGTCTATAGGCTGAGTGTAGTAGATCTGGGACTAGTGTTCACTGGAGAGGATGTGAACTGATTCATTGTCATCAGTCAGTCTCCAATGACAGTAACCAGAGGAAAGGCATGAGACTGTTTATGCAAGTGATTGCATAAATAAGAAACTATCTCATGTGGAAGACAGGGTGTGTAACAAGTTCACGATTCTGCACCAGCTAGATTGGGACTATAACATGTGAAGCTCATGCGTTTCAAGTTTTCGGCATTCAGAGCTGTGAACAGCCGGAACCCTGATTCAATTATCCAAATCAGTGTGGAGGTGGGAAATAGATCGACAAACACACCCAATATCGGCCCACTTGAAAAATGAGGCTACTAACGTGCCGAACGTGTTGGAGTACCTACACCAGAGTGATATGACAAGTTTGCAAGAAATACAGGTTCGCACTTGCTGATAGTATTACGAAGCATTCTACACATTATAGTTTATCCTTATGAATGGGTCAAGAAGGAGACCCATCAACTCCCCCTACACCATACATAGAAGGATGTTTCGACACGTAAATAAGGACAGGGCAAGTGGGTGGGCGGACTTAATTTAGAACCGCGTCTCATTACAATCACCGTTGTGACTACTGCAACAGTCGATACCAACCAAAAGAAACTTGTTCGATTGAACTTATTGCTTCACGACTGCACAATTTTGATCAAGATTTCTATAGCCCCACGATGCGATAAACCGGTCATCGACACGAAAATTGCGAGAGAAAATATTGACGATCGCACCAAGAGTACATACCATAAAACTATCATCTCCTGGATTGCATGTGCTAAAGCTTACACATTCTACTCCTTGATACAGTTCTTTCTTAGACATTCTTTACTGCAACATGACGAAACATTATCATAAGGAGTAAGAACATGTACCAAAAATATCAGGACCAGAGTTATTAGATAGAAATATGTATTTCAAATGCGACAAAAAATGGAAATTGAAAAAAGATAATACTAAAAGAGTAAAAGAACCATTGGCGTGCCTCTGCTTTCTTTTTCTTTACCTTAGCAGCTATCCAAAGTAATAGAGAAAGAATGGCAGCAATTCACCATGATAAGGAGAGGCACGTAGCAGAAGCCCGAATCCTGCTGTCGTGGCTGAATCTCGAGACGAGCCCCTAGCCAAGTGTTACTAAGTAATACAGCAACTGTGTTGAAGGTCTTGAAGGACAGAGGGCACTATTTTGAATAATCCCACATGGCTTTGATAACATTGGATGATGTCAAAGCTATGTGAGATTATTCAAAGCAGGAGATATCAACATGGAAGTTAAGAACCCACATAAAAGGCGCGCCGTCCATACAGTGAACCTGATGGTTGAGAGGGCGAGTAGCGAAATCAGTATTTCACATGGTCCTCACTGCACAAGTGCACCATTCTACAATTTCGGACACAGCGCTATGATAATAAGAAAGGTACATCGGGAACCGCATCAATCAGTAAGCAGGAGCAAAACTGGAGAATCTTATCATGAGAGCGGAACCCGATGCCAAATATTTAAGTAATGAGCCGAATGTTCGTGTTTCTGTTGAGGTGCATCGAAGATAGCACAACAGAAGAACTAACCTTATCCGTAATAAATTATAATCACTGATCAAAGAACTTCAATTGCATCTACACCTCCACGATTTGCATCATGATCAGACGTACACGATCCTCTGGATTGTTGCTCCAGTGTCACTTGTAAAATTCTGCCAAAACATGATTGGCCATGTATAACGGGACCAATGGAATAATTCACTTAACATCCCTAATGTTCCCAGCTAGACGCGGCAGCTTTTGAGAAGATATGCGTAGTTTGCTGGTTAAAACTAGACCCTTCAGAGGTCAAACTGATTACTGATGACCACACTAGCATTCATCTCAAGCTGCTACATTCTAGATAAAATTTTAGGGGCTTAGATATCACAAGTTTGAGGGAGAAGACGGGAAAGTGCTCAGTAAACTGGAACACAAAAACCTTTCACTCAGTAAAATCTACCAACGGCATCAAGCTAACACCTCTATCACGTCATTGCAGTATTTGGTAAAACTCAATATCCCGAGCATTGATCTTTTAACACTACAAAAACCAGATCCTTGAGGAAATCAAAACATAAAGAGTCATCAAGATACAGGAGATACAGAAAATAAGAAGTCTAGTGATCTCAAACCTGCGCTGTCTGAATGTTAAAAGCTCGAAGTGCAAAGAGCCGATGCAAAGCACACGCGCAGTCTTCCAAGTCATATGTCTTCCTCCATCATCAAAATTGGTTGAAAAGACACAGTTCTCCGGATCGAGTTTTCTAAATGGCAAAAACGGTGCATCAACAGCCCCTCCCTGAGACTAATTACCAAAATCCTCATTGAAGATTGCGAACCGCTCAAAAGAGTATAACGTGGTAGAACACACCAGGCAGCTGGACACAATAAAAGAAAAGTACTTCAAGTTTGGGAATCAGGCCCTTTCCATCCAAGAGAATGCTAACGCCTGCACATAGAAGATTTAAGCTAAAATTTGGTTCAAATCAAATAATAATGGTTCAGGATGTGATACAAGAGACGAGACACAGCATTGAACAGGTGTCTGGAGACGATGAAGATGAAAATACAACCAGTTGCAACAGGTGCCATAATTTCACTGCAATGATGCCACAGGGAGCAAACCGCGGAGCAATCTGGAAAAGAACATCATCAAGCAAAAAAAATTTAAACAAACGTCCTCGGGAATGATATGACCATAGCTGGCAAATGAGCAGCAAACATCTTCGTACGCAACAACACAAGCCTGAGGAAACGTGTTGTATCAAACCACTCGAAATCCAAGAGCTAAAAATTAAGCACCAAAGGCATATTTATATCTTTAATGATGAGAAAACGGCGTGACAAAAGCGAGAACTCCACGCGGGACAATTGCGTTGCATCTACTTCAAACACTCAAAACAGGGGACTATGAAAAGATGCGATCGATTCTAACAAACATAGCGCACCCTGCAAGCGGTTTTACAACTAAATGGTGAAACCCTCACTGTGCAAGCTGACGTGGCACCTCCATGCCCAATGAATGAAATATGAATCATCCAAGCGACAGCGTGCGCTGTTAGTGGATGTTTGAGCTAAAATATTTAATATTTAATATCTATTTATCTGATCTTAAAGTATAAATACAAAAACATTAGATCGAAGACTTTATTGATAGATTAAATATTTAATTGGCACAAGTTAAAACTTTGATATTAAATTACATGTGATTTTGCAATTGCCGCATCAAAGCTAGGTTCATTGTGAAAGGACATAAGCAAGAGATGGTTCTATCTTAAATTTAATTTCTGATCCTATAGATATATACATATATATATATATATATATATATATACTCATATACTTGTTCTTTGTTATGTGATAATTTTTTAATGTTTATTGAATCATTATCAAAATTTATGTAATTTAAATAATTAAGGATTACCTATACAAATTAATAAAAAAAAGTTCCATAAACTTTTAGTAACTCCAAGTATGAAATAAAAAATATAATAAATATGTTTTTTTTTATTACAATTCAAAAAACACATAATTAATTTCTTTATTTAATTTATATTATACAATGATTTTTTTGAAAAACATTTTAAGTTTATATTGTTGTCATTTTCTGATCAAAATAACATAAGTTCTTAGAGAAAATTTAAATTTAATCTACATATTTTTTTTAAAAGCACAATAATGAACATGCCATGGATGCCAAAACATGTACTGGTCACAAGGGTATTCTAGAATAATACAGTTTCTAATAATTGCAAGTGATAGGTCATATTTACATTTTATTGCTAGCATAGAGAATTATGTCTTTTGTCTAGTATTTTTCAATGGATGCAATAAGTAGTAATTCAAAAATAGTAAAAATAAAATTGGAGTTACACATTTGGATAGATTAAACTATTTATTAATTGTAAATATTTTCTCAAGGTATACTACAAATTGTGTTTGCACTACTTAATATGCAAGAATTAGGTTTTAAGTTCCATTTTAAGATTCCAGTAATTAACTATTAATTGCGTATGTAAATGAATGTGTTCTGGGAGGGACTATATAAGAATATCTATATACATCAAAATGCATTACAAAATCTAGTAGAACAGTGATGAAAGCAAAAATATTGGCTTTACTTATTTCATACATATATACAACAAAGAAATTGTGTAGTTGTAAACTTACAAAAATTTAGATCTTCACTAAAGACATAAAAAAAAGTTACAGCAGTACAGAATGCTTCACTTCATCAAGTTTTGTGACTCAGAGAACGCTAGATCTATCCAATAACCACCTTCACTCAGCATGGTGTACATTACAATAGTCGATATATGTATGTATATATATATATATATACATACATTTAATGAGTCAAAACAAAGAAATTCCTCGCCTCGCCGTGTCAAATACTCTCACAATTTTCGACTGCATGTTCATAGCCACGATGCACGAGACCAAATCCTAATAGCTGTGCATCCGACAAAGCATCCCACGGTTACCCGGCGACGTTTTTCTTCCCGACGTGACCACCGTCTATGATGTGCTTGAACTTCACACCTCTGGAGATTGGCTGAGTATTCGAGATCGTAGAAGTTGCAGTGGCAGCAACCATTAGTGATGTTCAAGCTCCGTGTGCGCCGAGATAACTTAATACTCCGTCGTAACTGTCGACACTAGTGAATAGGAACAAAACAAAACGAAAAACAGAAAGCAAGAAAATAATCTTCTCGATTCTTACCGAGGAATAGCGGTGTTGATTTTCGAACAATTCGGGGTTTCAGACGAGGTTTGTAACAACCAGTACAGTATTTGTATTCGGCTCCGACACGTTCCCTCCGATTTCAGCATTCATGGGAAGAAGAGGAGTGTTACCTGCCGGTGATCGAAGCTAAAGACAGCCTCAGAAAATGAATGTTCTCATGCGTAACTAATTACAAGAATTCATTATGCAATAGTTCATGTTGCACTTACCAGGGAAGGAAGATAACCACGTCCAAGGAAGCGGAGCGACATTCAGTGGATTGCAATCTACGTGTCGTGTTCTTGGGATGCATGCACTGAAATCATTGTGAAACCAGAATCCAGAAGCTCAAGCTCGAGGTACTGATGTAAACCAGAATCGAATCAATCAAGCTTGCAATTCATTGTACACTCTTTCCGATTCCCTCCGACAAAGGATTTTAAGCAAGCATACATGTGTTCAAAACATATGTACTTACTCAAGGCTAGCCATCATGGGAAGGGAAACGGAGAGAGTGGACACCGAAATGCAAGCTGTGTAACTGCGCGACACACCGATCCCAGACACGCCGAAAGGACGTAACCGACAGTGCTAGACACAACTGCCACAAGCAAAGATGAGTTCTGAAGTGGAATCAACATTCGGAGCCTTCATTATATAGGGCCTGCACGAGCGTGAGCTTCAGCCTCCGTTCGTCGGATAATTACCTCCGATGCGCAAGCACCAAGGATGGTTGTGGATAGTCTTCTGACAAGCAAGTGCCAACGAAAGTTGTAAACTTCACGTTCACACGTGTAATCTCAAACGTTCATGGCATCCAATCTTCACCTATCCCTCTCAACTACTCCGACAACGAGCATATGCGGAACCCACAACCTGGTTGAACCTTCCCGTGCTTACACCACAGCTTTTTCTTCCGATACTCTGAACAACGTCTCGCCGCACTCCGCCCTAAAGTTCCCACCCACCTACTCTCTCTAAATGCAGCAATTCTGACTCGAATCAACCACATGTGACCTCAACTCCGGCAAATTGTGCCGCCGAGCTCCGACTCGCCCCAGATCTAGTCTCTGCATGCTAAACCTAGAAAGCGACAGAGCTACGAATTTATTTTTACGGTATATGTACTTCAGAAGTACGTGCCGTACGGGAATCGGTACGGTGAGAACGGTTGGCAGCACAGAATCGGCGGGCTGTAATTGCGGAGCTTCAAATTTTTTCTCGAATCGATCTGTCCCCGCAATTTTTTTTGCGATGCTTGGACGAAGAATCGAATTTCCTCTTCGTGATTTGTTGTGTGTTCGATTCCTTCCCTTTCCTCTATGCCTTCTGTTCTAAGCCGTTGTTCTCCTTCAACCACACTTCCCACGTTGTCTTCCCGCCGCGTTCACTGTTGCAGCCGGCTCTGTATGGCCGAGGTGGCTCTTAGATTTGTTACTTGTTCGTCAACGCAGCAGGCCCCGTGTGTTTGCTTCGCGGGGCATCAAAGTCGGAATGCATGGATAAGTGTTGAATATCTAGTCGTCAGCCATATTGGAACAAGTCGCCGTTTGTTTGTTGCATGAGTAACACTTTGAACCTACCTACGCTAGGCGACGTGAAGTTCAGTGTTCCACGCGCAATACAGGATAGAAAATTTCCAAACTACGTCTGCTGCTGGTGCTATGACTAACTATTGTGTGCGGATGCACTTCCAGTTTCGGTGCATTCTTTCATGGCTGATAGCAGATTACTATATTTCAGATGTGCTACTATCAGAGTCCAGGGTCCAGGTTCAAGGGTTTAAGTGTTGACAAGTGCATGGGACTATTAGGAGTTGTGTTAAAAAATCTAGTGGAGTTATGGCATCTTATAATTGATAGTAAGGCCTCAATTCTTTTAGAATTACTCACATGCAGATTTGCAACGGATATTTGGTCTTATTGTGATGTAACATACAAAATGTCATGAGTTCTTGTATTCCTCCATGACATGTTTATTTAACAAGAAAACACAAATTAGACTCATAATCAAGGAGATTTTGATGATAATGTATTGTTTCAAATTTAAATTTGTAAATTAATTATTTTTCAAAAAATAAAAATTTTATGTATTAAAAATTACAATATAATAATATAATAAAAATTATAATATTATTAATAAATATTTTTTATATTTTATTTTTTATATTATTAAATTATAATTTCAACTTTGAGACAATACATTATCATCACAATCTCTTTGACTAGTAGTTTAGCTTATGTTTCTTCATACTTTCAACTAGTTTCAATGTTTATTTGTTGAATTCAAATTTCTAGTTTGCTTGAGCTTCTATAAACTTAAGGAAGTAGGAAGCTTGCACCACTTCTATTTTGGATTGAATTACAAGACAACTTAGGTAGGCAGGTTCTCTTCACAAAGTAGATATGAAAACCATAAATGAGATAGGAAGCATTGTACTACAAATCTACATAATGTAAGTCGATTGTGTTTTGGCCAGTTAAATTCAAGTAGGATAAGGACTGACCTGAGTTCCTAGAGTATTATTGTGAAATGTAATCAGGACTATACCTTTTACTAACACGTTGTTGCAAATGATCACTCTTTTCAAGCCAGCACATCAGTCAACCTAAAGAAAATCATTGAGTGTAATTCAAAAAGATGAATCATGTGCCAATCCATGTTGGGCGGAGAAAGACAATGCTACACTGTTCCTTCTAGGCTAGTCCACTAAGTCATATCTCGAGAAGCCAACCTCAACATGTCTGAATAACCAGTGCTGCAGAGTTAGTGGATCGATACAGGTTTCAATTCATGATGCACTCACAACGATTACCTTCCCCTGTCTTTCATGAGCGAGGTACACAAGATCGACAACTTCAGACGCACGGAAGGGAAACGGAGAGAGTTTATGATGAAATCGGAAATCTGAGCTTGAAGACGCATTATGCAGAGGTCACAGGCAACATCTCACGAATCAAAAAGGAACTTCCTGACCTACAATTGTGAGAAGCTCCAGAACTCGGTGCGACTACCAGGAACCCTCTACTTCGGCATTGAGCAAGCAACCCAACACGACGTTAATTCTGCCAAAACCACAACCAGTCATTCCCATGATCGCAATTGTGCTGAACCCTTGCGAAAGGCGATGAGTAGCGAAGAATACAGTTTCAGACAAGGCCCTAAATGATTATCTACTGAATCGGTGACCCCATACGTACGACGCACTCCACCAACGAATATAAACAACACGAAACTGGATCCAAACAAAACTGCAAAAAGTAGATTCTCGGAGAAGAACTGGTCAATCAGGCCTCTCAAGTTAGTAATCCCTGACGCTTCTAGCGAATTCTTACCAACCAGTTTTGCATCCCGCAAAGCTCACCAGTGGGATCAACTGACTGCGATCTATCGAACTCGATTGGGAAATCTTGGTGAATTGTACATAGTGGGTCTGCTGACACTGGTCGGTGCCGATCTTCCCACACCGCATTTTCCTCGCCGGACCCCCCCCCCCCCACCTGACGCGGTGAATGTCAGATTGGAGAAGGGTGGTGTTTCTCTTCTGACGGATGATGCCGTCGTCGTCGTTGATGACTCCCAACCCACAATCCCCCCCGGTCACTGATTGGGTGATCAGACCGTGCCGGTTTTTCCTCGATTCCCAACACAACCTACTCCATGCAATCGGCGGTGGCAAGCTGTGACAAAGACCACACCTTTCGGATCTTGGATTAAAAGATAGCCGCTCACTGCTGAAGTCCTCCCCGCACCAGTTAGTTGTCTGGAAACTACCGATTCCGCATATACTTTGTTTACCGATCAGAGCCTCCGTGGTTGTTTCCCTGTGTGTGACAACGCCCCTGCAGACTTAGTGACGACAGTGAAAACTTGCCTTCTGGCTTTACGACCGCATGCCGCTCTCGCTCACTTTTCTCCTTCACTGACTCTCTGGGTTATGAAGGTGTTCGCTCAAATTCGCCGTTTCTGAGGCAAACTGGCAGTTTTAGAGCAAACTTAATTGGTTTTTCACCCCACAAGAAGCAGGTGCTGCCCCCCAGTGACTGAGTTCAGTTGTCGTAAAGTTAGTGTATGGAAGGCTTGATGTTCGACAACGGGAGGTGGCGCTTTTTTGCATGGATGCTTCGAGTGGAATCTAAAGTTTGTGGATTCGAGTGTTGTGGAATAGCATCTTCGCTTCGACATTCGAGCACAATCAGTGTGGACATCGAGGAGGATAACAATCTAAAGTTTGTGGATTCGGGAGGTTGATTTTGCACATGAAATTTAGACAGAAGGGTTTTTTGGAAGCAGATGATACTGTTTGTTTTTTACCTCTCAATACTAAGAAACTAAGAAACCTTGATAGGATGAATACCACCCTAGCAAGGCAATGTACATCATGAATGGTCTTCCACAAAGATTGAGACAATGGTAACTAAGAGAAAAATGAAACAACAATACAATTGAAAAACTATGAAAATCTCAACTCTAAATGGCCCTACAGTCAAAACATAAAAATAAAATCTAAAATGAAAATAATGTTAATTTAAAAAAAAAACAATGGTTCAGTGAAATTGTGGAAGGAGGCATCTGATTGCTTTATGGTCTACATAAAGATAATCCAAATAAGATTATCCTGGAAGAATCTTTAAGAAGCAAGAATTTACAAGCTACATGCATATCTATCAATAATTTAGTACTTTTTTAAAAAAAATTAACAAATAACAATTCAAGATACAATGTAACATATCCATCTATCTAGGAACAAAAAAACAACAATTTTAGCTAAATGTATTTCTAATACTTGTTAAGAAATAACTATGTTTCTAAAAAACTTTATAAAGCATTTTTATAAAAATTAATCATCAAACATCAATATACAAAATTATATTATTATTGTTAATTATCAAAAGATCTTAATTCAATCTTAACATAAGCACTAGCTACTTTCTATTTTAGGATATTTTAAGCAATTAAGAACATACTTTTTAATAGTTTTGAGGATGTTCTAATATTATTTATTTTTTCATAATTATTATTGATATTTTAAAATGCCACTGTTATGATAGATTGTAGGATTATTATACAAAGTATTTCGTTTTTGCCAAAATATCTTTGATTACTTTTAGAAGTTGACATTTATTTAATAAAATAATAATTTATAGCTATTATAGGCATAAGAGCCTTTAATGGAATTATTCAATTGAGGAGGCATTACATTCACAACCATACAAAAATAATACAATGTATTACATAATTCATCCAAAATATATATTGTATTTTTTGATGCTAAGATTGTAACATATTCTGATGAATTATTAAATAGAAAATTTTAGATGGTTTAATTTTAATATATGTAAGCTAAAAATATAATAATTTATATCTACATCTAAACATCAGATATTGCAATAGAAGCTATTGCTCTATAAAGATTATATTAAAAATTATAACTATTCAATTCCATGTAAAGTTGAGTTTTTATTACAAGAAATAAAAGAATACTTTGCAAAAGTATACAAAGACATAACTATGGTGCATATTATATACAAGGTTTGATTATATATATTAAGTAAACATCTATTTTTCAACATTGATTTTACAACCTTTATATATTTATAATAAAAATATAAATTGGTATTATCCCTTGTAGTTTTTTTGATTTTAGAAATCCAATTTTATATTACAGACAATCTAGAAAAATGTAATAGTATTAATGATGCATTCTCATAATTATTAATAATTAATTAATAATTATTCTCATAATTATTTTAAAGAATTTCCTATAATTTTGTATTTTTTTTTTATTTTTCTTTTGCTTCTTTTTTTCTTTAGATTTATTGTTGTTAATATGAGTTATCAATTCATTTCTTTTCTTTTAACCACTAAATAAAATTATCTTTAAGAGTAAAAAATGTTTCAAATAACTGATGTTCTTTTATAACATATTAATAGTTCTTTACAACACATTGATAGTTCTTTGTAACCATGAATTTTTATTGCTACTGTAATAATTTTAAAGGATTCAAAAAGAAAAATTCTAGAATAAATTTGAAGGCTTCATGTATTTTTTGGAACAATTGAGTAATTTTAAATACTAGGATGCAGTCAATTTTTGAAAATAAATATTTTTATTAAAAAAACTTGTATGTTCAATATCTAGTTGATAATTTGATGTATTAGTTTTATATAGTTTGTAACACCTTGAAAGTATGTAGATTGATAAGATTAAAGCTTCAAGGTCCTTTTGGAGAATATTTTGCATCGCTTATAAGTCTTAATGAAGCATGATCCTTTACTTCTAAATTACTTCTAAATTAAATTATAATTATCACTAATTATTTATAATAATTCCAAAATATATAAAATTTTAATAATTAAATAATTTGAAATAATTAATCAAATTAGTATCTAATTATGAAGTTTACTTTTTATCAATTATTAATGAAAAAATCTAACAAAAAAAATATATCTTATTTTGATTGAATAGTTTTATTTGTTTATTAATAATTAGATATGATTTTCTATATTAAGTAAGTAAATTATATTTTAATCACAAAATTAATCACAAAATTACTAATTCATATTTCTAAATTTAAATAAAACTATAAAATTTACTTTAAATATTGTTACATGCTCTTATTTTCCATCTAAATTCTATATTATTTAGTCGCTTTTGCTTCTTGTAAAGTTCTTTAGAGTTATGATTGAGCTCTAATCTATAAGCAAGCAAAACAAAAATTAGTCTTTTATATCTCCAATATTAGCAATACTTCAATAATTGCCTTGACTCAATGTTTCTAAGTGTGATATTTTTTTAAATTTTTTTTTTTTGGCTTTTTAAACTTTAATTTCAATTTACAATTATTAATTGTCTCTTTACTTTCTGATTTTTTATAGCAATTAGAAAAATCATCTCTATGATCCTTAAATATTACTAAATTACTAGCCTAATTTAATTCAACTTTATTTATTCATTTTCTCTTTAATTTAATACTATTAATGATAACATTATAAAACACTTTCTTATCAATTCTTACATTGTTTTTAAACATGAATTCTATCTTAGCATTAAATGCACGTTTTTCAAACACTTTTTTCATATCTATTATTTTTTGAATATCAAATTTTATTTTACAAGTAACCATATATATATATATATATATTTTTAATGTTATTTGACTTCTTTGTTAATAGAACATCTTTGATTAATAGATCTTATGAAGAAATCTTAGATAGCATGTATTATTAAGTTTGTGTTTTGAAAGAGGCTATTTTTTATATCATTAGAATTTTGCATCTTCTTTTCTTTAACAAAGCCTTCTATTAACTCTTAACAATATATAGAAATATTAAAAGAATTTCTAAAAAATATTTTAAACTAATAATATTAAAAATATTTAAAAGAATATTTTATATTTTATCACATCTCATCTTATTTAAGAATATGAAGAATTAGGAAGATCTTCCTAATTCTACATATTATTAAATTTATTTTTAAAATTATTATGTATTTCTAAGACCATAATAATAAAAATATATTTATATATAATAATATTTTTAAATTTTTAAATCAATGAAATACATGCTAAAAAATCTTATTCATAAGATATCTTTTACATCAAGTAGTTTTTTTTTTCAAATATTATTTGAATATATTTATCATAAAATAAGATAAATATATTTAATTAATACAACCAAAAGAGAATTTAGCTAAGAAATATATATTTTAAAATCCAAATTTTAATCTTATAATAATATAACTAATATAATATTTAAACAGAGGCAATTATGTTTAATATTGCACTAAAAATATTATAAAAAAAATACATTAGAATGAAGATTAAGTCAATTTTTGTCAACTCTGTCTACATTTGAAAGAACTTAATAACAAACTTTCTAAGTACAAAACCAAGCTAATATCCTTTAAATCTTTTTTATCTAAGATATTTTTAGTAATATTTGTAATATATTTTATTTATATTTAATAACTTATATATATATATATATATATATAATTTAAATTTGTATTCTAGAATTATAAAATTTAGATTAAACTCTATGTGTAATAAATATCTATATTACTTAAGTAAGTATGAATAAATAAAAGTAAGAAGAAATAAGTAAAAATATATTAGAAAGATAATACTTTTTTTTGGAAGCTTCAAAGAAGTTTTTAAAATGCAAATGAGATATTTAGATTTTCATTGATATGTTATGTGGCTATTGAAACTTGTACCACAAGTTTCTTACTTTCAAAAAGTAATATTTGAAACAACCTACAACTAGACACTAAGGTACCAAACCTTGCAAATCTTAAGAAACTTCTATAAGACTTTCTAGTAGTAAATATTTAATATTAGATTTTTTTGTATGCTTTATCATCATATAAATTTATTTTTATAAAATATGTATTTTTAGATTTAAATAATTTATATATTTTTTATAAATAGAATGCAATATAAGGAAAAAAAATAAAGAAAAAAAAAAATATATATATATATATATAACCTTTGTTTCAACTAGATAGTGTGTGTGCATATATATATATATATATATATATGTGTGTGTGTGTGTGTGTGTATTCTTCTTCATTTTCTCATTGTTGTTTTAACAACTAACTTATTTTTTGATATAATTAAGTAGATTCCAACTATAAATTATAAGTAGTTTGTTGGCATTAGATTCTAAAAGTGTTTTTCTTCATGTAATTAGTATTTGATGAAAATATAAAATTTTCTACTAAAAAAAGAAAAAGAAATAAAAAAAACTAAAAGATTACAGTAAATAAGAATATAAGACAAAATAAACAATTGAAAGTGTGATCTACTTGTCTCCTATTTTCTTTGGCTGTTTTTATCAATAATCAAAGGTCTTTGGAGACGTACCTCTATCTTTAACAATGTTTTTGGTCAAATCACACTTTCAAGTGGCCCTAGATTAGCTTTCCACATTAAGCAAATCATTTATTTATTCATTTATTTGATAGAGAACCATCTTTGGAGACATCAATCATGTCAAAAGAGAAAGAAAAAATAGATGCTAGTTGGTCAAAGATGCAAGTACCCACACACAAAACATCAAAACATATTTATCCGATTGACCTTAAAACAAAGCCACTACTGTAATTTGACTCCCCCTTCGCAAATACAATTAAATTATAGAACCACACCTCAACAAATAAATTACCAATAAATAAATAAAATAAAATGAACAAATAAAAGGAACCCATTAAAATGCTCCCACACCTGAATGCTCATTCACTCGCTTCGATCTTTCAAACTCAATAACAAAGTGGCTCCAAAGCCCGCTTTAGCTTTATGTGAAAAAGGCGCGGGCGGGGGGAGCTTCGGTCCGTACCGGGGAGGATGTAGGGTTCACTATCACGAATCGGTCACACGACCCGTGGTTGTGGGGTCCGCAAGCCGTTCGCTACGACCCGTACCCGTCCGTAGTCCTATTCCGTTCCGTTCCGTTCCGTACTTAGCTCGTGTAGCTCCGTGTTCCCTGCTTGACCCAAGACCGATTTCGCCGCCCGATGACCGATACCCATCGCCGATCGGAAGCTGAGGATTTCCTTTAGCTGCCCTCCTCTTCCCCCCGAATCCGCCGCCATTGTAGAATTTCGGGCTCTGTGGATGTCGGGTTGCATCGGAGCGGCTCATGTCTCGGCTCAAGTCGCCGGTGGGGCTCTCTCGGAGTGTGTTTATGTGTGTGTTCCGGAGAGTTGCGAAGCAGCTTTTGCAAATGTGTGCAATAGCTGCTACTGCCCTCGGATCCGTGCTGGCGAGCCGCGTCGTTGCCATCCCTTTTGACTTGATAGCGAGCGAGGCTGATGTAGGTGAAGATTCGGAATCGCTGGACATGTGAAAGCACGACTGGGGTGTGCTTTGTCGGTGTTCCTAAACGGCTGCTAGATTGATTGACCCATTCCTTCGTTCTCAGTGTTGGACGCTGGCTTTTATTTTTCCTGTGGCAAACAGGTTGACTGTTCAGCTTTCGATCACGGGATCGACCGTTTCTAGGTAGAAGCGGAGGAGGGTCATTCCTTTTTCCCTCTTGCAACTGTTGCAAGGTGGAGGGTTTGCTTTGATATGTGGCCTGCACGAGCGAGGAAGCTTGAGCTTGGGTTCGCTTTCCGCTGCACAGCTAATGCTTCTTCTACCCACTTTGGGCAGGAGTATGGTCTTGTTAGGGTTTGCACCTCCCTCGGTTCTGTCTTCGTTGCGTTCAGGCCACGCAACGCGGAGATTGTTCGTTTGACTCCACCCATACTGGCATGGGATCCTGCATGTCTAGTAGCGCGGAGATGCTTTCGCTAGAACAGCTTTGAATGTCATCATACACTCTCTCCGTTTCCCTTCCGAATCGTTTTTCCCCTCATGCACTGGAAACTGTTGGAAGGGAATCGGGTGGAGTGCATCATGATCTGCAAGCTCCGACGGCCCCTCTTCTCGATCTCGACGCGTCGCAGTTTGTCACAACCCCATCACGTCACAGGAGGTAAACTCATCTTGCGAAACTGATCGTTGTTGCTTTGTGGGGTTAGATCATCAGGTTGTATCTTCGCAGGTCGGAGTCGATGAATTCATTCTTCCTGGTCACACTACTTCGAACTTTCCCTCGTCTTTCTTTCATTCAACAGAAAGAAGGATAGCATGTGGGGGCATTTCATTGAGATGTATCGAATGATCGAAACGTGAGTAATTTTCTGTGATTGTCCTGACAGATCGAATTGGAACTTTCTGCACATTGTCTGTTTATATGTACTGGAAACCTTGCAGACAGGAGTAGGTACCTACTTAAGCTTTGTCTTAGAAATACTGATGCCATTGAAGCGGTGCCTCCGAAAGCAGAGCTAACTGGATTCTTCTAGACCGTTCCACATGTTTCTAAAATACATTTTGGTGCCTCCGATGTTGTAAATATGAAGGGAACTTGGTTAAAATTGCAAAACGTACCTCAATTTTTACGAAATACTCTGTTACAAGCGATTATGTAACATATGAGGAATATGATTACAATGAATTGTTGTTGCAATCGCTTGTGAACAGCATATATCTATCTAAATCTTTCTGTTACTGCATTTGTATAGTATTATGTAGATCAATCCAAATGCAATTTTATTTCTTTTATACGCTTCTACAACTGTAATTTTTTTCATATATTGCTACATATTGTTTCTTAAAAGCAATTTTTATGAGTATACTCAGTAGATTTTTTTTTTCAAGGTTCACTTTTATTCAATTAACTATTTATAACCAACTTCAAATCTTAGAATCTTTAAACTTTGTAAGTTTAAAAAGAACTAGTTAAAAATACTACATGCAATATTGTACAATCATGCACCTTAAAAATGTTGAGATCCTGTTGTCTAATAAAATATGAACTTGTCAGAATTACAATATTAAAATTTTATATCAATTTTTTTTAATAATTTATGGTTAACTAATTTTTTTAATAAAATATAATTTATATAGTTAGTACATTTATGTACTCTCCTAAGACACATCTTTATCTTTAAGACGTTCTTAGTACTTAAAAACCTTTAATTTACAACAAAATTCATAAACCAATTCACATGTCTAATGTTTTCAACTTGACTTCTTTTAATTCTTTCTATATTAATTTCTTTGACTAATAAAAATCTTTAGAATTATACTTCAATTGAGTCTTTAATGGCTAAGAATCGGCTCCTGTAATTCTTATATTATATATATATATATATATATATATATATATATTTAATTCTTTCCATTGATAAAAATAAAAAATTATAAATTAAATGAAAAATTAGTACATATATTTAAATATAATTATCATAAAATTTAAATAATAATAATGATTTTCTAATTTTTAATTATTGATTGATCTATATTATGATATTTATTTTTTGAAATATGCCAAATTAATTATGTTCTTAAGAGTATTTCTTAGATCTAGTTTTATTAACTATTCTATCTTTTTCAATGTCTTTTAAGAGAGAAATCAAAATTGTTCTTTAAAAGAAATGATCCCATAAAAAAAATCAATTCTAATTATATTCAATTAATGTTTTTTCACAAGTATGTATTTGTCATAATTATTTTTAATACTATAAATTCTAAAATATTTTTTTAAAACTTTACAATTTATGTTGGATAAATTGTCTATAATACTTTTATGGATCAACATCTATTATATTTGTAATTATTTTTAGATTATAATTTATTTTTATTTAAGTATAAATATATTTTTTTCTTGCTTCTTTTAAATTATTAACAACTACTTCAAGTCTTTAAGCTTTTTGTTAAGTTTGTTTAATTTAAACACTTAATAATTCTTTTTAAGTAAGTCTATCTTTCTAAATTAATATATTTGAATTTGGTAACAAAGATACAAATCTACAAAACTAATCAATATATAATATAATTATATTTAATTGAAAGGTGGACAAGAAAAGAAAAGAAAAGAAGAACTAAAAAAATAAATAAATATAATTATAAAAAAACTTTAAAATTATTATTATTAAATAAAAATAAAACTAATATATATGTATATAAATAAAATAATATTAAAGTATATATATATATATATATATATATATATATATATATATATATATATATATATATATATGTTAAGAAGATTGAACATAGCTCTATGCTTCTATCAATATATATTACTTAATAAAAATGTTGTATATAAGCTTTTTATAACTATAAGAAGGCTTGTAAACTAAGCATCTAAGTTGTAAGACACTTGTATAGGTGCTTCTTAAAGATAGAAAACTTCTAAAAGTTTTTAAAGACAAGTGATATATCTAGAAGTATTTATGAATCTTTTAATATCTAAAAAACTTCTTTAATAATACTTCCTCTAATTTTTCTCACCATTAAAATCTTTCTTATCTAATATAAAACCTTCTTGTTTTCTTTTCTACATTCAAAAAGTTAGTCACAAATTCTTGGTTGAATTGGTATACTTAATGGATTGCAATTCAACATATTAAATTCATTAGGTTTATTTCTTAAGTATTTTTCTTAATGAAGAATTATCCATCATTCTTCTTAATTTTTTATGATGGCATTACCTACGATGTAATGGATTTCACTTTCATCTAACATGACAAATTCTTGTTGTAGAATGTCTTTGAATTGTTGAATTATGGTAATCTTATTGCTAATAATTATATAGTTATGAACATAGATTGTAATTATAATAAAATTCTTATCATTTTTTCTTCTTTATATATATTTGTATCTAGTTCTAGACATTGATATTTGTGAAGTGTTAAATATTGGTCTAATCTTTGTTATCATATCCTAAAAGATTATTTAAGGCCATATAAAGATTTATTTAACTTATATATCATATTAATATGTATAGTGGATAAACCTTCAAGAATAGGGACACACACACACACACACACACACACACACATATATATATATATATATATATATATCTTCTTCTATAAAACTATTTAAAAATGTCTAATTGGTGTACTTCCAGATTATGTTGAGCAGCTAAGGCAAGAAGAACTTTAATGGAGTTAAGTTTGACTACAAGAGAGAATGTCTTCATATAATCAATATCTTGAACTTGGGTAAAACCTCTTGCAACTAGTCTTGCTTTATACTTTTCAACTTTATTTTTAATTTTAAAAATCCACTTTGAGCTAATTGATTTTTTATTGAGAGGTAATTTGGTCATTTTCCATGTATTATTTTTTTCTAAGGATGTAATTTCAGAAATTTTTGCTTGTTGCCATTCTTGAGCATCAGCCCTCTTCATTGCTTCTTAAATAGATTTTAGAGCTTCTATATTGGTAGAAACAAGGTGGACTTGGTGATTTTTATTACATTATTGTTTATATATATATTTTTTCTTTGTATAGACTCTAAAAATCTTTTAGTTGGTTTAATAATTTTTGTAGGTCAAAAACTAGAAAAAGACTTGGTTCTTCCAATGTAGAATTAACTTCATCATCTTCAAGAAATAAGATTTTTTGATCATTTTGTAATAATAGTTTAAAGAAGGCTTCAATGAGATCAATGTGAGAAAAGGATTGTCCTTCCATATGTAAAGAAGTACTATGTATTTGTTACTAATCAAGTACATGCGTATCTTGTGGTAGTTGAAGACATTCTTTGAGCATGAGGTATGTTTTTCTTATTAGACCTCATAGTTGTTGAAGGGTGCTTAAATAATTCCAAATCAATTAAAAGCTCTTCATTGTTCTTTTGCGAGAATGATTTTGCTTTTGCATCATGTCTATCTTTATTGAAGAGAATATCTCTAAAAACAAGGATTTGCTGATTTTGTGTGTTCATAAGTCTATAGGCTTTAGATTCTTCACTGTAGCTTAAAAAGATAGCTTCTTAAAAATGAAAATCTAGCTTCTTTCTTATTTCTTTAGGAATGAATATATGAGCTTTAATTTAAGATAGAATAAATTTGGTTTCCTTTTGTATCCAAAAAATTTAAGGTGGAATAAATTTGGTTGTTTTTTGTACCATAATTCAAATGGAGTTTTGTTGCCTTATACAAATTTTGTAGGGCTCCTAGTTTAGAGGTAATTTGGTATTTGGGGTGCTTCATCCCAAAAAAATTATATGTAAATTTGAATAAGATGGTATTGCAAAAATTGTTCCTATTAATGTTCTATTCTTTCTTTCAAAAATACCATTTTGTTGTGGTATATAGGCTGTAGTATATATTTTTTGATTCTTTTATTGTTACATAAATCTTTAAATTTATTTTATTTATATTCACCTCCACAATTGGATCTTAAGACTTTAATTTTGAAACTTTTTATTTTTATTTTTATTTTTTTTTTATTTTATATATATATATATATATATATATATATATATATATATATATATAATTTTCTTGAATAAGGTAAAATTTTCAAATACTTCAAATTTAAATTTTATAAAATATGTATGGTAATATTTTAATAAATTATCAATAAAAGTAAGTACATCTCTAATATATTCCTACTTGTATACAAATACAAATATCAAAATGTGTAAGTTTTAACAATTGTGTAGATCTTTATACACCTTATATAGAAAATTTCTGTTTATGTTGCTTATCTTCTATGCAAGGTTGACATAAGATAATTTTCTTTTCATCAAAGAGATTAGTTCCCATTTCCATTGTTTGTATTTGCTTGAGTCTTTGCTGATTTATTGTCAAGGACAAAGATTCGATGAGGGAAAATATATACAAAAAGGCTATCTCGATATAATAAGTCAAAATATAAACAAGTAGGTATATTAAAAGGAAACTGGAATGGCTATTGCCACAAGACAAGAAACTAAAGACTCTTGAACCTGGACTAGAAGCAAGAAAGGAGTTGACAAGAGTGAAGAAGCCTTCACTCTTGTCTCTATATATACTATCTAACTAGGGGCTACGTGGCGACGTTCTATAGGACCTCCAATATGTGTTGACTTTATAGGACACATGCCTTGACTTATAAGGCAAGTTTTTCTACGTGTGGGCTACATAGTTAGCTTGATCTTCAAGCTAACAACATATGTGGCACATGGCCAACTTGTTGACCACGTTTCTAATCCAAAAAGTCAATTAAAGACACCTATGAAGTCAAAGCAGCGTCTAAGAAGTTTCTAGGAAGCTTCTATATTAAATATTATAGAATTAACTTACTTTTATCTACTTTTATTTACTTCTACCTATTTCTATATGTAATTATTAGCTTATATGATTATGGCCGTGACATTATCCCCCCTTCTAGAGACGAGTTCCACGAGGAGCGGTCATCATATGTTGAGGAAATCTATGATGCGACGAATTGTATTCGCCACATACTCTGATCTCTGTTCTCTTCGAAGATGATTGATAGGGCCTCTCAACCATCGGTAGTGTCCCATACCAGGGCGGGAAGACCACCCAGTTATTTGATCATTGTTGAGGCCTTCGTAACTTCCTTCGAATAGAATATTTGGAACACCATCAGGAGTTGTTCCTACCTCTAGCAAAATCACCAAACATCGGAAGTCCCTTCCCAAATCGTGATACCAAACGCGTTGTATCTCACCATCTATTCGAGGAAGAAC